TTTTAGTTTTCTTATGTTTTTGAATTAGTTTTAATTTGTGTGTTTTGGGTGTTTCAGTGAAGTTTGAAGCTAAGGAAAAGGAAAAAAACTTCAGACTTCGCCGGGCGAAGTGCCCTGAAGAATGTTGTAGCTCCTGTATTTTTTTCGCCGCGGCGAAGAATTTGTTGTCGCCCGGCGACGATGGTTTTGAATTTAGGGTTTTATCATGAAGAACTTCGCCGCGGCGAGTCTGTTTCCTTTTAATAGTCGCGTGATCTTTCATTTTTGCGAAATTTTCCTGAAGCCTTTTCTTTCTTTTAGTTTTTGTTTTTTTTCTTTATGTTTTGTAAGTAGGAATTGATGTTGATTTCCTCCTGGTTTTTGGCTCTTTATTTGTTTTTGTTTAGATTTTAGGTTTAGTTTAATAAGGTTGAGATTAGGATGTATATTCTTTCATATTACATCGGGAGGTATCGGGGTATCTACACATGTGGGCACCATTGACTTCATTTGTTGACAGACTGATAAAATGAGGAGGAACCCAGCACAATGGATGCCATAAGGATGTTCCAACCACAAATTGGCCTTTACGGATTAGTCAGGGAGTATCTCATAACATTTACTTTGTTTTTCTTTCCCTCTTCGAACCTGTCATGCTCCGACAGACGTCGGACAACCCACCCGTCATTTTACAGGAAACCCACCCACACTAAAAGTCACATAACACCATTGTTGAAGTTGGAACTCACCACCCAAAACGACACGGCTGAACACCCACACACCCCGCATCAATACTTTAGACAAATCAACTGCACAATCACTTAGCAAACTTGATACAACGCCATCTCAACTAAAAAACCCGGCGAACAAGCAACAAACAACAAACACAACAAAAAATAACAACAAGACAAAACAATAGCGAATAAAATCAAAAACAAAATGGGGCCGAAACTCAGACCTATCCAACAACAATCAATCTTATTTAGACCAATTTGGATGTTCCACTGACAAAAGTGCAGTAGAGCTATGATAAAGTTTGAAGTAGGATTTATTCTGACCAATGGATGCATTGACTTAGTTTAGGTATTACTTACGAAAGTTGATTGAAGTTGTTGATGGATCAACTAAGCATCTAATTCGGAATCTAAAACATTTACGTTGGACAACCGTATAATGCTTGGTGGACTCGAAAACCTATAAGGATATTCGAGAGGAATTAGGATTAGATATGGATGAGGGGATGATTATAGAGGATTTGAATGCAGCCTTTCAGCACATAGTAATGAATATTCCTAGTCACCCACGGCTGAGTTATCGACTAAAATTTTCTTGCAACAAAAATTGACTCCTATAACTAAAAGCCTGATTTGGATCAGTATTGTGATTAAAAGAGAAACGCTAGTAGGGAAGGAATAAGAGATGCAGGAGATATAGCATGTTGACACGAAAAGGGACGGGTGTGAAAGGGGAGGTGTGTGGAAGGATCGATCGTACATGCCTGGGTAAGGACATGCCCAATGCAGGCTTCCCTTATTGGAGGGAATGTATGAAGGCTTGTGTGTAAGTGATACCAAAGAAGGTCAAAAGGGCACGAAAAGGGCATAGACCTCAGGGTGTTGTTGGCAGTAATTGTTATTGTAGTATTTATTTGAAAAAAAAGAAAAAAAAAACAAGAAGAGAGAAGAAGAAGATAAAAAAAAAAAAAAAGAAAAAAAATTTGCTTTGTCATCAAATCACACATAGACCTAATCATCAGTTTTGAGGTTGTAAACAAGGTTGACACTTTGATTGGGTGGTTTAGAAAGCAAGTGGAGTTGATGTACTCTTAGTGTGCCTCACAGAGGTAAAACTGAGTTCTCTTACTTGCCTCTTCATCCACTCCTAATCCTAGGACACATCTCCCTTGCAAAACCACCCACAAAACTTACAAGCAGCAAACTGATCCTAGCAAAAAACACCCATTATAAGTTCGACCCCTACTTACGAGTCTCCACCATTGAATAAACTAATAACCCTGCATAAACGACATCAAAGTAAGAACTCTACACTGATCAACCAACACATCGGGACAATAGAGCAAAGCAACGGTGCCGTCATCAGGGGGGACTTAAACTCTTGAGACTGCATTCCGAACCATTACGGATCGAGTACTCATACTTGGGAGAAAGGAGAACGAGTTATAAACAAAGCAGAAGCGAAGGGACCATAGGGGGGCTACGGGGATAAGAAAGACGGGCACACGCTTGGTACGGGGCACTAAGGGAACCGGAGTGAATCAGGCATTCTTAGTTTGAGTTGAGCGTAAGTTTTGTGTTTTTCAGTGTGTTAGTTTGTTGTTTTGGTGTTTTTGGATTGTTTGTGTGCTTTTCGTCCTTTGAGTTTTTATTTCCTTTTTGCTCGAGACGAGCAAATCTAAAGTTTGGGGTAGTGGATAAACGGTATTTTACACTATGAGTTTGCATTGAATTTGATAGATTTAGGATACTTTTTCATACAATTTGGGCCATAATTGCTCACTATTCTATAATTTGTCTTGTAGGCCTAAACGATGATTTTTAGCATAAATGACAGTTTTGAGCGTAATTGTGTAACTTGAGCTGAGAAACTCGGAAAAACCTGAATTTAGAAGCGTTGGAAAGCTAAGAAGAAGAGCTACAACGTTCATGTTTGTTGTTTTTTCCTAATTCTGACTGGACAAAGGTAAACTGGCTTAAGTCGTAAAGGACGCTGGGAACTGAAGAAAACGTCTTTGCGTGCTTCATATTTCCTGCCATAACTTGATCTGTAGACCCTCGATTGTGCTGATTCTTGAACGACCAGAAAGATATTGGACAGGGCTACATTCATATGTTTTACACTTTTTCCATATTCTAACTATATCATGCTCAAATTGGGTCTGTAAGTTTCGCCGCGGCAAGGAAAATCTCGCCGGCGGCGAAACCTGCGTCAATGCAAAATAAAAGACCGCGTTTGGCTTGCTAGGGAGCTTCGTCCTTAAGTGGAGAGGTATAAATTAGAGCGAAAAAGAAAGAAAAAGAGGCTTGGTTCGTGATTTGGGAGGCAGCTCATGAAGTAGAGAGATTGAAAGTTGGGCTTCAAATTAGAGAAGATTTCTCCATCTTTTGCTTGCTTTTGAATGATGAAATCTTGATTCAGTTTGTTTTTGTGTTTTATTCGTTTTGAGTATGAACTGGAGTTGTTTCGCTAGGTTTGATGTAATCTTGATACAATGATTCAAATTTATATGGATTGAATTACTTTGAGTTTTAATTTCATGATTGAGTGTTTATCTTTTTGCTTAATGTTTTTTGATCTTGATCACCATTCAATATGTGTTGTTCACAATGAGCTGAGAAGTGATTTGTGATTGTGCCTCTTGGGATAATATCCATAATTAATAGCAAACGCTCGAGAGATAGGTTTGTTCGATCTATAAATCTATAATAGAAAGTTTCACAGTGCAAAAAATAAAAATAAAATCCTAATTGCGAACAAAAACTGCCATCGAATACCATAAAAGCGTATCATGTTATTGAGCATAATAGAAACGGAAGCTTTAATAGGGATAAGTAGGAAATGATAAGCAGGAGAATTATGTATAAAAATTACCTGAAACTAGAAACTGAAAATATCTACACGATTAGAAATGTTAAACTACAAGATACTACAAACGAAAACCAAGTTTGAAATGCTACCAAAAAAAAATCAGACAAATTCAACTAACTCTACAAGTTGGGGGATCTCAGCGACCGTATGTGAGTAGAAATTCAACCCAACACAACAAGAGCATTAAAAATAAAACTCTAATAAATTATCAAAACCACAATAACATCTAAAACATAGCGAGGCAGTTAAGTTGGGGGGTTTGGCATTTAGATGTAGTTTGTAATCTTCCATCATCCCCAAGTTATGTTTGCTCTGCACTGCGGACTAACGAGAAAAAGCGGATTATAACACTATCCCGGGGGAACGAGACGCACGCATCATTTATGACTTTTGCGCCTAGTATACTTCTATTTTGCATTTTTCGTTTCATCCTCAACGCTCAGGGGGTCGCCCTGGTTTTTTGGGGATAGGGGGGGGTGGGGCATTTTAATCCCATCCTCTGGGTGGGGGGGGGGGATCTTTCCCTCCCCTACCTCCGCCGCGTCTAAAATATATAAAATTAATTATATATACACCCTATATTTCACTAATTACACAATTATCCTATACATAAACTCATATTTTCCAATTTCTCCACCCAAAATTAAACAAGAACAAACCCTAACCCATATTTATGTAAAATAACTATGTTTAAACGATTAATTTAAATGTTTGTCATTGGAGAAAATTAACTATTTGTTTTAATACTCAAATTAATTATTTTTATGATAATTAATGAAGGAACACCCGCGGGACGGAATCTCCAACATTCCCCTTTGGGACGGAAAAGAGGAATTCTTGTCATCCTCATTAAGAGGATGGGGTGGGGAGTGATTTTGAGGACGGAAATGGGTACGGTGAATGAGATCCCCGGCCTGCCTTGCCCCGCCCCATTGCCATGCCTACCTCCAAAATTCTAACCGACAATTTATATACATAATTATTGATTGAATTATTTAAAGTGTGGGGTATTTAGTAATAAATGAGGTAGGGATCAGGTCCAAGTCCAATCTAATCCTAACTTAAGTCCAGCCCAATTAAAGTGTTTCATTACAATATCCAGTTAATCTCCATTTTACACTAAAATTTTGTATATAAAATTATAAACGTTATAAAGTCTTCTCTTGACCAACAATCAACAGTAATTATATTTATAAACTTTTGTATACATGTAATTACTAAATCGCTTCTTTTAATTTAATTATTTATTTTTTTAATTCTTTTGGTATCAAATCAATTATTGCCTATATTTTAATGAAATTATGAGAGTGATGGATAAACATTATCCATTGCAATATCTTGAAAAAGATCTTAAACTAAAGAAAAAAATTAATTTATTATATCATATATACTGGCCAAAATTAGAAAAAAAAAAACAAAAAAAAAAAGAATTATCTTCTGGGTTTTGGCTTCATCCGGGTGGTAAAGCTATCAGCATTAAGGCTTGAGCAATTAGCAGTCGTAGCTTCGGGATGAGCAAAAACCACCTCTGACTTCACTCACGTCATCATCATCATCATCATCATCTCATCTTCTGTAAGCACTTCTTCCACTATCATTTCCTTTCTTTAACTTGCTTTTCCTTCAACTAACCCTCCTCTCCCTTCAATTGCTCAAAGGATTTTCGGTGCTATGGCGACTCAATCTCCGCCTCCTCCCAATCCAGCGGCTGATGATCCTACAAAACCAGGTTTTCTTTCGTCTTCTTTATTTGGTCAATGATCAATATTATATTTATCTTTAATCTTTTACTTTATCTTCCATTTCAATTTATGTTTTATTTTTGTTTCCAAGATTAGAAAGGAAAGGAACTAGAAATTTGAATTAGCGAAATTTGATTGAGTTATTACTTGAATTGTTTAATTTTACGGCTTAATATTGAAGTTTAGTAGTTACTTTACTTATTTGACTGTTATGTCTGTTGCAAAAAGACGACAGAATCATAGATTATTTTGATATTCCTTCTAGAATGATAGTTAGTTCATTCATGTTGTTAGCTATCAACAATCAATTCAGACGCATATTTATGTTATGGAGGTAAGTCGGTGCAAATGAGAGAGAGAAAAAGTTTGTGCCTCATTTGAAATTTGAATTTAATTTGAGCTTATTAAGATGAAAATCTTATACTACTGATTGTACCCAAATTGCCAAGGTATTAATACTATATGAGGTGGATTTGAGATTGCTTCAACATAAATTAGGGACGTTTGTTTGTGGATCTATTATCTTCAAAAGTTAGTGTTTCTGTGGGTTCCTCATTATTGATTTTTGTGGCCAAGGTAACAATGCTCTATGTTTTATTTTGTTATTTAACGTTCAGCTACAGAACCAGCACAACCAACAAATGAGGCACAGCAAGATGCTCGAGATGCTGCTAAACCGATTTCTTCTCCGTCAGTGTTTGTGAACTCAGAACCTATGAGGGAGGAGCAAGTACAGAATGCTGTAAAATTCCTTTCACACCCTAAAGTCAGGGGTTCGCCAGTTATGTATAGAAGATCTTTTCTAGAGAAGAAGGGTCTCACAAAAGAGGAGATAGATGAGGCTTTTCGGCGTGTACCTGTAAGCAACTTATTTATTTGGTTCTCTCTTGTTATTACATTGAATTCTTTTATAAACCGTTCATTGACTCTTATTGGTTAGTATTTATTGTTGCCTCCCTTCAAATTTTCAGGACCCAACTCCAAGTGCACAGGCAACTACTATTAATCAAGGTAATGAACTTTGGTACCGAAGTGGGAGCTTTGTCTTCAGCAGCGCACTTCTTGGGTTTGACAGAGTTTGGCTGAAGCTTGTAATGCTGATTCTGTTTATGCTGAAATTTAATATGAACAGATGGGCAGGTGAAATCATCAGCTAACAATCAGCCACAGGCAACAACACAAGCTTTGCAGCCTGCAACAGCTGCTCCTGCTGGTGTTATTACACCAGTGAGGACATCAATGATGTCCCGATTTCACTGGTATCATGCTGTTCCTGCTGTAGGATTTCTGGCCGCTTCAGGTGCTGGAACTGCCGTTTTAATCAAGGTAATAATAACCTTTCTTTTACATTCTATAGAAACTAGTAGTTGGATATGTTAATGCCTAGCCTTCATATTTTATTGCCTTTTTTGACGTTGGATTGCATTTGTGGGTATCCTTTGCCTAACCCATATATAGCAGTATACTGTAGATTTTAATTGCTTAGTATTTCATAGGGAAATTACCCTAAATGGTCACATTTTTAGGTCAAAATTGAAATATGCTCTTCTCTTATTTTCTCTCTAAACCTAGTCATCTGCAACGTTGTTAGACAAAAATAGCCTTATTTGACAATTAACAGATTGCAAGACAACACAAGAAATGCCATCCTTTCAGTGCTTGAATTTTAGCATTCTAACACCACTAGAACATTTGAAGGCCGCTCAAATCCTGTGGTTCTAGCACTTCTGTTGGGAATTTGAGCAGTTCAGTGTATATTTTCATGGTTTTTATGTTTAAAATGCAAAAGAGACTTGTTTTGTTGCAAAAAATTAGTTTTCCGTGTTCAGAAAACATATTCTGCAAATTTGAGTGGTCTAGTGTTCATTCTTGCACTGCTAGAGAACACTCGAATTGTAGCAGTTTAACACTGTAGAACATTCACGTGCCGCTCATACCTTGTGGTTCTAGAACTTTTTTCTTTGGTTGGAACACTCGAACCAATCAAATTGGTGAACATGTTTAAACTTCAAACCATATGTGAACACGGTGTTTACAGCGAAAATGTGTTCTGTACTCATGTTCAGGATTCTCTACAACAAATAAAGTATACACTAAGCTAATGCAACCATTTCCATGAATAGTAAAGGATTTGATGATAAATCAACAAGATCAAACAATATCATTTCCTATTTTGAAGCTTTGCAATGGTTGCGATGTAAAAATGCAGGTGATAATAACCGGTTCTACTAACAAATATAAGTTCACAGATATGATGAATGGAACTTGTGAAGTAGTAGACAAGGAACAATGAAGAAGTTGTATTATGCTTGTGTGTTTTGTTTTCTTATTTATGTAGAAGTGCCAATTTGTCTATTTGGTTGGTGAGTGGCAAGGTAGGAGAGGGAATATTGGGTTGGCTATGTTTCAATTTTCACTAAAAAAATGTGGCTATTTAGGCTAATTTGCCAAGGTTGATCACAATATTAATTAACATATTTCTTGTTTTAGAAAACTTTTGTCCCAAGGTTCAAGTCTTGGATACGGAAAGTTGTATTGGAAGAAGAAGATGACATTTCAAAGAAACCTAATGGTAAACCAAGTTTGGCAGAAGAAGCAGCAGCGGCCGCCAAATCAGCTGCAGCTGCAGCTGCTGATGTGGCAAAGGCAAGCCATGAAATGCTGAATTCAAAAAATGATGGTGGGACTATACTGGACTTAAGTTTATTTATTCATGCAACATTTTTTTTTTTTTTTTTTGCCACTATTTTGACTGTTCTTTTCTTTGGCTGCTTTGAATTGTTCACTGATGAGATCATATGACACAACTGGTTCCTTTTTTCCAGAAAGAAGATACTTTGAAGAATTTATGAATCTGTTAGATGTGCAAGTTCAGGAAATGAAGTCCATGAGTAATGCCATAAGGAAGTTGGAAGGTACATTACATCTTTCTTTGGGATCAAGCACATTGTTAATTTATTTAGCATTATGGTTCTACAGTGGTTGCCTATTGCCCAAATCAATGGCACTTTCTGCAGCGATTTTGATTTCCAAGGATGCTAGTACCATTATTAGCCTATGGTAAAACCCTTTTTTTAAAATAAAAAAAAAAAAAAAAAGTGATCTAGACAAAAAGAATTTCCTTTCTTGGGTGGGGGAGTTTGGAGTCCCAAAAGCTACTGGAACATTGTTAAGAATTGGGATTTTCTCTCCATTGAATTTCTTATTTGTTCCAATTTCTACTTGCAACCTAATCCTGCATCAACTCTCAAAGGATGTTGTTAAGATACTTTGGTGAATGAGTCCAGCAATATTTTCATCTATCTTGCCCAATCTCTTCTTCACTTCTTTTTCGAGTTATAGAAACGATGTGCTCTCAGATGCCTTGTTGTCAGAATTAACACCAGCCAACTTTAAATTATTCAGAGGCCCTATGTGTTGTTGTGTTTTCATTGTGAAGCCTTAGAGAGAGCAAAAGGGTCAGATTTTCTTTGGGCTGATGGGGTGACTTATATCTGACTATGTCTTAAGTTTATCCATGTTTTGTTCTGGTTTTGATCTAATCTGTTGGCAGGTGTCTTTTGGCATAGTATGATCGTGAGTAATCTGTGACATAGCGCTTTCTCTAGTTGATTTTAATTTTGATCATTTCATTCCGGAACTTTGACCCTACCAGGTTTCTTTTTTGCTGTCGGGGTGCATGGGGACTGTTTTCCTTGGGTGTAGGGTTTAGGGTTGGGTACCTGGGATGTACTAAGCTAAATGACCCTCAATTGTTAAACACAAATTTACTAGAGTTCTTGTTGTTGGCTTCTTATATTGATACTTTCATGGAGATTTCAGCAAAAGATGTCTCACCTATGAATGGGATTTGGCCAGATTTCTTATTGTATGTCCTTTGTTTGTTTGTAATTGTCAGGACAAACTACATATTCTGAGAGAACCTCTTTCGTGAATCAGGAAGATCATAGGGTCTCAGTCACAAGTGTGAAGGTGAGCTGAAAATAGGTGTAGCCTAAGATTGCTTTTCTGATATGCATTGGAGCATAAATATTCTGATTCAAATTTTAGTGCTTAAGTTAACTTTGTACTAATTCAAATTTTTGTCACAGCAACCGTACATGAATGGCAAGTCAGACTTTGACTCTCGAGCAGGTAGCTGGATCCTCCTTGTTTAATCTTTGTAATGGCCTTGAACTTTTATGCAGCACTAATGAATTTTCTGTACAGTGAGGTCTTCCTCACCTCCTGCCACTGGTGAACCCTCTGTTGCACCCCACCCGAAGTCATATATGGAGGTTAGTTTCCGTGATCCTCATGCTTCTTAAAAATCCTTATTTTTCAGTGGGAAATGAAGTTTGCATTTTTCCCTTGTCATATTCTAGCTAGCTCCATACGTATCTGCATCACTTTTTTCATACTTGGTGAATGATGAACCTGAAAATATATTAGCACATGTCTAATTCTTGGCTGTGGTCTTAAAGCATTTTTCTTATATATCTGTAATTATGTTGCAGATTATGGCGATGGTCCAGAGAGGGGAGAAACCTTCCAACATTAGGGTAACTAATGTTGTAATTTGAACAGTTGTGATACTTCGTTGCTGGTCAATGCTGATTCTCCATCTTTCTGTTTTCTTATGCAGGAGATAAATGATCAACCTCCGAACCCTAACCAGCAATTATCAAATCCGCGCTTAGTGCCTAGAGCTAAGGTTTGTTTCTTCACTAGATTTGTGGATTGTTGACAACTCTTTTACTTTGTTCGCTATGTGAAAAATATTATTCCAAAACAGGATAAGCGTTTTGTTGAAGAATTGGTCAATTTTATTAATCGAGGCCATATTTTTAGCTTGCATTATCAATTTCATATTTCCTGCATCAGTTTAGGTGGCTGCATGATGTTAAATTACTCTGAAGTGTTTGGTATTTGAACAACAAGGAAAACATGGATGTAAGATGGCTAAAGTAAATTTTCAATTGAAATGATGTGAAAATGGCCTCTGAGCTGGAATAGGCGGTTTATCATATTACCACTAGATATAGAAATAACAGGATATATATGAGAATCGATGATATTTAGCTAATTGCATTTAGAGTTGATTGACATAAAAGAATTTTGAATTCACCCCAAACTGATTATGTCTTTTACTTATCCTGTGTAGCCTTGGGAGGTTGGTCAGGCCCAAAATAGCTCTAACCAAGTACTTCAGTCTCAAGTAAGTGTGGAAGGCTTGAATGCCAAGGTTCAAGATAATGGGCAGAACTATCAGATAGAGGATGAGAATCCAGTGCCTTGGTGGCAGCGGAAAAATGTGAGGATCACAGAAGTTGAGAATGAAGATGAAGTCAAGAGTCGACCTTATGGTGTGCGAACCAATGAGCCACCGGTTCGGCGGGCATGGGTTCCACCTCAGCCACCTCCTGTTGCAATGCCAGAAGCAGCAGAAGCCATCCGGAGGCCAAAATCAGCAGTTCCGAAAGAACAGTTGGCTGAAGATGAGTCAGTATCTAATAATTCAGATGTTACTAATGAGTTGCAGAGGATCACAAAGATATCTGAAACTGGAGGTGCAGTAGAACAGATGAACGGTGGGGGCTTAGTGATGAACACAAGTGAGATACAGGAAGAACAAGAAGACAGCATCGAGGGGAACTGAAAGGTGATTCACTTCATGTGATCAGCTTGACCTAAGGTACTCAATATACTTGGGAATGATAGTAGTTGTTGAATCAATATGAAACAATTAGTTTGATCCCACATCTATAAACGCAATTTGTTATCCATTTTCCGGGCAAGAATAAAGTTATAAAGAGGTGAACTTTTTGTATATAAGCTACTAGTTTTATGGATTATATGCCTCTTTTCTCCTCTTTCATGTTATGGATCACGCATTCCTTACAAAGTAATTATCTTACTCTTACTTGACCGTAGTGTTAAGATTTAATGTCTAATCAATCCATGGTTATTAGTATCCTATAATAAGCGATACGTATCCTATGATATGATTCGATACAAGTCGTCAACGATACGTATCAAAGAGTGTATTTTAAACCTTTTGATACGTTGATATGTATCATACGATACGATATGTATCTTTAAAAATATCGATAAGATTGATACAATTTTATTAATTTGAGTCAAAAGCCCCCCAAAAAAAAAAATCAGGTCGGATCTAGGACATTCAACTTGGTTAACTAAAATCTGTTTAAATTTACCAATTTTGTATGAAGAAAGTGAAGAGGAAGATATATTGTCTATTTTGCATGAACACAAGTAGATATATAGATTTTGACATTGATCTTGAAAATTATATGAATAATTAAGAAGAAATAATATATATTCTTAATTTTGTTAATAAATTTGATTATGTAAAACCATAATTTAAAGCTAATAATATTATAAAATTGTTAATTAATTTTTGAGATAATATTAATTTTTTTAAAAAATTTATTATTATTTTTAAAAGAAAAAAAACATATTATACAATATGTGATATATTATCCAAAAAATTAGATTTTCGTATACAATCCAATGAGTTGACAACCAACATTAAATACTTTTAAAGAAGAAAGTGGTTCCGTGAAGGTGGATATTTTTGACCGACCAACCTCTTCATGAAGCAGAGATGAACACGTGTACGTTATCTTTTTGTGTAATACAAATTTGATAGGGCATGTGTTATGGTAAGTGTTAGACATGATAATATATTTTGAAGATTTTGTGTTTCTGGGACTGGTAGGCATTGTTGCTGCTTTTGATGCTAATGTTTTACGCGTGATACTTTCTAGGATGAAAGAAATATAGTTCGTTCATTCATTAGGCGTGATACTTTCTACGATGAATTGGTTTAAGCAACACTTTAATTTTATAGAATTTTTTAGTTACGTTTTGATTTCTATTAGTAATATTTTGGTTTTCTAAGGTTTGCTAATGACATCGAACAAAATGATAAAAATTGACTCACAATCCAATTCTATAAATTTTTTCTTGAAACACCACCGTGACAGTTTATAATTGGTCAATTCGTAAATGGATAGACATGATCTATAGCAAGCAGGCGAAACCTATTTACGAACTGATCAATTATAAGTTATTATATCGAGATTATGAGAGAAAATTTATAGGATTGAGTTATAAATATAATAGTACTGATAACAAAAACATCATCAAAAAAATTCAAATAACTGACTAAGGATTTTGTTCTTTTAACAATGACCAAGTTTAGATGGCCCAATAAAAATATAGAGTGGGTTTGTGTTAGTGGCCACAATACTATAGTATAGTGCTTCCTCGATAGCTTCCAGTTCCTCCATTAACATTTGCATTGAAATTTTATATAATATTATTACGTTGTGAAAGGTGATCTTATCTGGTTAGGTCAAGGATTAATATATTTGTATTTGTTGGAGGCATTTGGGCGTGAGGTCTGCTAAATTGAATGTGCAAAAGAGGCCAAACACAAGCAAATAGGGATCTTCTTTGATCAACAAGATTAAGATACCTGTTATCAGAAAATGACTGTTTTCAACTTAAAGTGGTTAGCTGTTAGTGGTTTGTAATTGTATGGAAGAACCCATATAGAAAATGAGGAATGGGTCTACATCTAATTAGTTAAAAACACGTTTTCTTTTCACAAACAGAAGCCTAATGGCAGTATTAGTGAATGTCGTGTAACACCTTTTAATTTAGAGAAAACGAACCACCCAAGGTTTGCCTTCACTAATTTCTCACCCAAAAAGTTTCAAAATACCACTTTCCCACCTAAAGTAAAATTCCGTTAATATCCAAAATACACTTCACTTTCTCAGTCAACATTCGACGAGTTACCAGGAGCCAGGGTAAGAGGGTTTTTTGTAGAGTGGAGGCCGATGGATCAAATGGTGGTGACCGATTGAATATTTGCCACCAGAATCAACTAAAAATAGAAAACCCTAATTTTGTGATAACTAACAACTGACAAGAAATCAAATGTCGTAGTGAGATGAGCTTTGTAGAGAGAATATCAAAGGTCCAAATGGTGGTAACGAAGAGAATTTTAGGCGTTGGAATGGGCTTTGGGTAGTAATGAAATATTAACTTTGGGTGGACGGTGGTATTTTGAAACTTTTTGACTGAAAAATATTAAGGCAAACCTTGGGTGGGAAAAAGAAAAAGTCGTTTACTCTTTAATTTATTAGTCATCAGACAAAACATATATTTATTTTCAGTACCGTTTCTTTGAATTTCTGGGCACATGTGAATATCACGGTGTATCATATTTTTATTTATTTATACTCAAATTATTTCATGTTTTTGTTTTCTAGAACAGTAATTTTGCATTGTATCTACCACAATTTGTATATAAATAAGAAAAACACCTCCTCGCATCGCATCAACAAACAACTACCATCGAAAATTAATTTAAAAAAATAAAAAGTAAAAAAAAAAATATATTTATCAATGTGAATCATAATAAATAAACGATTTAGAATTTAATTTAAAAAAGATCCCAACAAAGAAATAATAACAACTCGCCAAAGAAATTATAAAAGACGAAGAAACATTAAAAAGAAACTCATTTCATGAATGTTAAGTGAAGAAACACAATAAGACGTTTTAATCTTTTATAATAATTTCCCTTATGAAGAAGATTGCCAACAAATATTATTCATGTTTTCATTAATTATGTACATCAGAATCTCGGTTAGTTATATCCATATTCAAATTATGTAGTAAAGACTGATTGACTGCTACAACGACGTCGTTTGTAATTGACCTGGCACCATTAAGAGTTTCTCACTCCCACTAAATCCACGAGATTGAATTGATTCCGATCCCGTCTTATCCTCGGTGTCCTGTCTTGTCGCCACTCTCACATTTATATAGTTTGTTACAAGGGAGAACGACATTTTCCCACCCAAGGTTTGGCAAAATGACCTTTTCCACCCATCAAGTTTCAAAATGACACTTTCTCACCCTTCGTTAGGTTCTGTTTTGTTTTCCGTTAATATTTTACTAAAAAAACAAAAATACCCTTAAATATTTTACTTTAAAAAATTTTTATTATTTTTTTATTAGCCAACAAGTCAAATATTAAAAATTCAAAAAAGAAAAAATAGTTAACCCCACTTAAAAAATTATGAATAATGCTATAAAATTGTTTAAAGTTAAATAATTTTTATATTTATTTATAATGTCATCAATAATACATCACTATTATTTATAATGTTTTTCATTTTTACTAATTCACATAAAAAATTAATATTCCTAATTAATTAAATAAACAAAGAAAAAAATATTTCTTTATATTTGGACTAATAAATAATCGAATAAAGACTTTGAATTAACTAAATTTTAATTTATAATCAACTAATTAAGAAATAAAATATTTAAGGTATTTTCATCTTTTCAATCAAATATTAACAGAAAACACTAACAGAACCTAACGAATGGTGGGAAGGTGTCATTTTGAAACTTGATGGGTGGAAAAGTGTCGTTTCATCAAACCTTGGGTGGAAAAATGTTATTCTCCCTTGTTATAAACGAGTAATTGCATTTACATTTTTATATAAACAAGTAACTATTATTAACTCTGCATTTCTCCCCACACCACTAAACACTTCCCATCTCTCTTTTAATTCACACCCTTTTGCACTTTCTTTTCGTCTCTCCTCTTCCTCCTTTTTCTTTGTCAATTGTCACTTTACACTCTCTGCCTCTTATCTGAAATTTCAAACTCTAAACCATTCTGTTTTCATGGCTTTGAGTTTTCTGTCTCCGACTGAAATCACAGCTATCTCTTTCTTGGATTCCACCAAGTCCAATCACCTCCCCAAGCTTCCAGGTACCAACCTTCTTACTTATTCCCTCTTTTGTGTTAACGTGCTTTCTTTTATTTTGTTTCCTTGTTTTGGCAGCTGACCAAATTTACATAGGCTAAAACATCAACAAATTGCTCTGTCAAAACTGGATCTTTCTTTCCTTCTTTATCTTTTCTTAATCACAATTTTTGGGTTATTGCATATGTGAAATTAAGTTACTTGTGCTATGAGAGACGTGATTGAGGATTGTCTTGAAATGATGGATTTATAAAGCTTTTTGATTGAGGATGTCACAATATATTGACTACATAACGGTTTGTCATGCTTAAGGATAAATAAATATATAGTTGCAAAAGCGTTTGAAGAAAATTTGCAAACCTTTTTTTTATTTGGATTCACCTGTGACAATATGCTTGCTTGCTTCATTTGCTATAGCAGGTGAATTAGTCGTCCAATTAATATTTGAATTTGATAAGGAATTCATTCTAAAAATTTCTGTCATATAACATAGTCCTAATGGGATTTGCATGACTTTAGCTTTCAATTGTAATTATTGTTGTTTCCTTCTTATCCCTCTGCAAACTTTGGCTTCATAGCTTTGAACTTATCTTTCGTTCCATTTATTTTTCGATGTTCGGTGTCTGGGTTAGAGGATCTTTATCAGCTTCGTCTCGGCAGTGATTGTGTTTATGCTTTCAAACTTTGAACAGCTAGAGCTTCTGTCCTTTTGTAGACAGAATGAAGTTTAAGCTTTGGTAATTTGTGACTTCTAGGTAGGTTCACGTTGAAGAGGAAGGATAGTGGAAAGGCATTTGGCAGAATAGTTCAGTGTTCTACTCAGCCGCCGCCTCCAGCCTGGCCAGGACGTGCTTTTCCAGAGCCTGGTCGTAAGACTTGGGATGGTCCAAAGCCTATATCGATCGTTGGATCAA